GGCTCCCTTTGAGCTGCCTGTGCACTGTAAATCTCTGTACACACAAAACATGAGCGAATTATCCATACCTACTCCGTCTGCGTGCACAGAGGATCTGACAGGAGCCGCACTCAATAAATAGGAGTGAGTTATTGACTCAGATGGAGCAAAATTGGTCAATAAAAAGTTTCATTTAACACTCCTAATTCTGGTTAGGCATTTTGTAGTGCTAATTTGGTAATAACGGTTTGACTTAAAGCTCAGAAAGAGCTGGCTGCAGTTACGGAGGTGAAACAATTCCAGAAATGTGCCTCCCATACCTGGCAATGTTTAAGCTTTCCAATTAAAGCAGCTGTACTCTGCAAATTGCAGCTTAGATATAATATGGGGAGGCAATGGCCTAGTGGTATTATTGCTGGACTGTTAATCCAGTAACCCAAGTAATGTTCTGGGGACCCAGTTCAAGCCCTACCGTAACAGAATGGAGCAATTACATTGCAGAATGCAATGAAAATCTGGAGTTAAAAATCTAATAATGACTGTGAATCCATTGTTAGGGGAAAACCCATCTGGTTCATTAATACCCTTTAATAAAAGGGAGAGGGAGAACTACTTCCTTTAGTGAAGGAATCTGGTCTACATGTGACTCCAGACCTATAGCAATGAGGCTGGCTCTTAAATGCAATAAATCAGCAACTTTCTCATTCTGTGAACAAGTGGCAAATACTTGGCCTTCGAAGAGCACTGTGATCTAAAACGAGGAAGAAAGAGTGAGGACTGGGATCAGAAATAGTGCCAGTAATACTTGTTGGTAACTTGCTGTTCAGTGTCATGCGAACAGGGGTCACAGAGGGCAGGGAAGAGGTCTCTGGACATTTGCCATGAGCCAAGATATGGTATGACCATATTTACATTGAACTGTAAAGGCACAATGTAAAAACATAGATATTGCTGTGGTTTTTCACCGCACACCCATCAGAAGAAACTCAAGAATGACTAATATTGAGTGGTCACAATAATTTATACTACAGTGAAAATGAGCTGCTGATTGGTTGGCAAGTCCATTCTAATTGGCCAAATCCTCACTATGGAGAAAGCAATGAAACTCAGAGAAGCTTGCATTTAAAGGTTTTTCTTAAAATTTATTCATGGGATTAAAATTTGGCTAGACCATTTACTGCTCATCCCTAATTGCCCAGAGTGCAGTTAAGAGTCAACCATAATGCTCTGGTCCACAGTCACATGTAGGCCAGACCGGGTATAGGATGGCAGTTTCCCTCCCTAAAGATCTTTAGTGAACCAGTTGGGTTTCTCCCAACAACAGACTTTTAATTGAAATCAAATTCCACCATCTGCCGTAGTGGAGTTTGAACTCCAGACCATTACATGGGTTTCTGGATTAATAGGCTGACAATGATACCACTAGGCCATTAGCTCCCCTTGCGAATCTTTGGGGTTCTCTGTGCAATCTCCATCATTGAACACATTTAATCTGAGACAGAGAAGCTTGTGGTCTCTCAGGGAATCAAGGTTTATGCAGAGCAGGCAGGAAAGCCCATGCCACAACTGGATTGATTGGCAGAGCGGGTTTGATGGGTCACTTGCTCCAATTTCTTGTATCTTGTGAGCTGCGAGCTCCCCAGGCTCCTGGCTATTTCAAAGAAAAGGCACAAGATAACACATGCTTTTTATATTTTCTGATCAACCCGCTCAGAGATGTTGTGACACACCTTGACAGCAAGTGAGATGTGAACCCAGGCCTTCTGCATTCAGTGGTAGAGACATTACCACTGCTCAACAAGACCTCTGAGATTATTCCCTTTTTCCATTTTATTGAAAATCTGTCGATCTAAGCTTTTAATATACTTAATGACCCAGCATCGACAGCCCTCCGCGGTAAAGCATTCCACTACCCTCTGACAGAAGAAATTCCTCCTCATCTCTGTCTAAATGTGCAGCTTCTTGGGCTCGGATTATGCCCTGTGATTCTAAACTCTCCCAAAAGGGGAGACAATGTCTCCACATTAGAGGTGCTTTAACACACCTCTGGAGCAGGTGGGACTTCAACCTGGGTCTTTGGGACACTACTACCACTGTGCACAAGACCCTCTGAGAATCTCTCCTTTGTTTTCTCTTTTTCCTTTTTTTAAATATCAAGAAGGAAACAAACAAACATTGGAGTTTGACTCTATCCAAAAAAAAACCAAAGGCATCTCTTACACATACAGGAGTATATTTACATGTATTTGAGACATTAGGAGTGCGCGATAACTGATCTCCCTTGGTCCTGACGTTCTCTGCAGAATGTGAGAGACATCTCTGATTTGACTGGCTTCATTTCCGAGAACAGGGCTTAGCAGCAATTTGATGTAACAATGTAATTAGCAAAGTTTAAACTGAGTATCAATCTCAGGAAAGGTGTTACAAAAGATGGTATTGGATATTGTAATTTTCCCTATTGATTGAGCTGACCTTAGGAGCCAAGCTGTCTCAAAAACAGTTCACCTGAAATTTAGTAAACGTGGAGCTGGGGAAACACAGCGGGTCAGACAGCATCAGAGGAGCAGGAATGCATTTGTGACTATGTGTACATACAAAGATATTTTTCATGAGTAAAGCATATTTTTGAAATAAAAAGGAACCTTGGGAGTAGGAAGTACAGCCTCAACTCCAGTTTGACGAGCTGCAATCGGGCTAGTATACACTTTATAGCATCTTGTGCTCCCAAAGCAGATTCTAAATTAGTCTGTGGGCATAGACATTTAAGAACTGTGAGGTTACTCAGGATATTAGAGGGAAACACTGGCTTTGTAACGTTGTATTTATATCTATCTTGTGTTTCAACAATAATAAACCATGTCTCATGGTAAACCACGTCTCATTATTAGTGTAAAATGAGTCCCACTGAGTAAGCATGTAGATCAGACCATACAAAAGCGAAGCTTACACAATGCCCATTAAGGGCACTGCACAGCACCAAAAGGTGAGGGATAGGTAGAGGGGAATGGGGTTAAATCGAAATGAAGTTGGAAGGCAAGTGTCATGGGCCAGACCTAACCCCCTCAAAACATGTCAAGGAGATAGCCTAGACCCTAACTTTTATCTTTGTTAAAGGCAAGTATAAGGCATGGCATTCCAGATGTGATTGGTCCAACTACAAGGCTTTATGCAAAACACACTTTATTCTTACATCACATTAAAACACAAACAAAAAATGAAGAATTGGCATAACTTTAACTCTAGGGAAATACCTAACAAAATAATATATTGTTTAACTAGTACTCATCAACTGTTCTAATATACCCTTGGCAATGGCAAATTCAGCAAAACAGATTTCCCCCACTTGCTATCTCCTTCAGATCAGGAGAAGGAACACCGACAGAATGAATTTGGTAGCAGAGAGAGAGCTCAAGCTTTTGCAGCTGCAGAGAAAGAAAGCTGTACCTAGCTGCTTCAACTCCAAAAGCCGCAGCTTCAACAACTGAAAGCAAAAATTAAAATCTGGGGGCTGTCTGAGCCTGACTCCATCTACACATGCTTCTTTCGTCTACCAAAAAACCCAAAGCTATTTACTCTGCTTTCCATGGAGCAGGTTTATAACACCTCTCTTCAAGTGAAACAGGTCACAACAAATCCCTCTTATGGGCACATATTGTCACAGGAGAGAATATGCCCTTACCTATAAATTCATAGCAATTCCAGCAGGTGTAAATGAACAATGTTCTCAGTTGCCCTGATTATGTTAATTTGGATGTGATGTTACTTATCTCCCCTGCCAAGACTTCAACTATCAGCACTGCTGGCAGGAAGAGATCCCTAAAGCCCCCTCTCATTGCACCACACCACAGCTTTGAATTAAGTGGATCCACTGGATCTCAACCTTCAGAGCTACTAACCCCTTTCCAACACAGGTGATCCTTATAGATGTTTAATCCTTGACATCCTCATCATTTGTTAAAGAACTTGTCACTGATGTTTGATCCAAATATTCCCTTTGCACTAAACATGTGTAATCTTGGCCCTATTTTCTCGAGTTTCCTTTCTCTAGCCTATTAATTATCTTCTAAATCGACATCTAAATCGGTCCCCATCAACATCTCTCTCTGAATTTATGTTGCCTCTCTAATCCTCCCTTCCTGAAGCTAAAATGACAGTCAGTCATCCTTGGGGACATTTTGATCAGTTCCCTGCCCTCTGGTGTGACATGAAGATCTTTTGATAGAATTAAAGACTCTCTTGGCAGACTGAAGCTAATCTCCCAGCTTCCCTAGCCATGAGTGAAATGGCAGTAAGGATGTTATTAAACTGGAAAGGGTGCAGAAAAGATTTACAAGGATGTTACTGGGAATAAAGAGTTTGAGTTATAAAAATAGGCTGGGAGTTTTTTTCTCTGGAGGATAGGAGGTTGAGGGCTGACCTTTCAGAGGTTTATAATAAACATGAGGGGCATAGATAAGTTGAATAGCAAACGTCATTTCCTTAGGGTAGGGGAGTTCAAAACTTCAGGGCATAGGTTTAAGGAGAGGGGAAAAACTTAAAAGGAACCTGAGGGGCAATGTTTTCAGGCAGAGGGTGGTTCGTATGTGAAATGAACCGCCAGAGGGAGTGGTAGATGCAGGTACAGTTATAACATTGAAAAGACATTTAGACAGTTATATGAACAGGAAAAGTTTAGAGGGATATGGGCCAATTGCTGGCAAAAGGGACTAGTTTAGTTCGGCATGGAGGAGTTGGACTGAAGGGTTTCTTTCTGTGAGCATGTCTCCATGTCTCTTCTAGGCAGCAGAACAGTTAAGCACACCAACCTACAGGGTGAACAAAAAACACAGGACGGTGGAGAAACCTGTGTAAATGTTGAGCTCCCAGTAATGGAGCAGGAGTCGCCCACTACACCCTTCGCTCCCTCTTTCTGCTGCCCGAGAAGATTCCTGAATGCCCAACTTTAACCCTGCCTCCGTCAGTGGGACTTGGGGACAGTGAAAATCGGGCTCTTTAAAAGTGGGAGCAGAACAGCTACTTACCTCTCCTCTGTGCCCCACGTACACCAGGGCACACAGTGGCTGGAAGGCCCCAGTTCCACAGGCCAGCAGGTGGGTTCGGTTATACGGATGCAATACCCGCACGTAGTTGGCACATTCACTCTGGAACAGAAAGGAGAGCTGAATAAGGCACCAAGTCAACCTCCGCGATAGAACTGTTGACTCAAAGTTGCACTCACTTGCAGATACTTTTAAACATTCTTCCCCTGCCTGTGCTTAAAGGTCACTTAAAACACTCCCATGTCATAGTGTGGGAATCTCAGAAACAGGCCATGCAGCACAACAAGTTGTTACAGTATAGGAGGAGGCCACTCGGCCTGTTGTGACTGCACTGTTAAAAATTAGGTTCAGTTAAAATCACCTTCAAAATATTTAACCACTTAATTTTTTTTATATTTGAACAATATTTCAGCCCTGCAGACAAATATTGCAATGACACGATTTATATAACACCTTTAATGTTGTTAAAAACATTAAAAGAACTTGGTGGGAGTGTTATCAAACAAAGTTTAACACCAAGCTCATAGAGAGCTACAAAGACAGTTGAGAGGTAGGTTTTACAGGACGAAGGATGAGAGAGACAGATGTAGCGGCGGAGATGTTTAGTGAGGGAATTTACGGTCTTAGTAGCTGGAGGCACATCATTAACGGTAGAGGGATTCAAAGCAGGAATACCCAAGGGTCTGAGTTGGAGGGGTGCAGAGATCCTGTGGGGTTGGAGGAGACTATAGCAATTGTTGGGGATAGGGGGACGTGGGAAGGTGGAGGACAGGCCTGGAAATATTTAAAAATAGGCTATGGATTTTAACATTGTGGCATTCCATTGCTTAACCAGCAGCCAATGTGAGCACAGGATGATGAGAAAGCAGGACAATTATTTCGATCACCGGCTCTTGTATTACAAGCGTGTGAGCTAAAGGATTTGGCTTTAATAATTTCCTGGCCCTGGTATTCTGCCATTTGGGGAGTTGATGGCCTAGTGGCTTTCTTGCAAGACAATTAGTCCAGAGACTCCCAGTAATGTTCTGGAGGACCAAGGTTCAAATCCTGACATGGCAGATGGCAAAATTTGAATTTAATAAAAATCTGGACTTAAGAGTCTCATGATAAATCCATCATCGATTGTCAGGAAAAAAACCCATCTGGCTCACTAAAGTCTTTTAGGGAAGGAAACTGCCATCCTTCCTTGGTCTGGTCTATTAGGTGCCTCCAGAGCTATAGCCATCTCGTTGGCTTTTAACTGTCCTCTGGGCAATCAGGAATGGGCACTAAATGGCATCAGCACCCACATACTGTGAATTAAAGAAAAAATGTCCCTACTGCTATGGGCGCTCTTGATGATTAATTGTATATTGGGGTCATTATCTTTAAAGCTTTTGCAGCCTGGAATAGTGGGAATTAGTGTCTGGTCACTTACTGATATCCCCAGGCCTGCCAGCTTTTCAGGCAAGCCTGTGACATTGTCAGAGTCAAACACTCCTTCTTTGGGTTCCTGTGGTTTGCTGGGGTGGCATGGTGGCTCAGTGGTTAGCACTGCTACCTCACGGTGCCAGGGTCCCAGGTTCAATTCCAGCCTTTGGTGACACTCTGTGCGGAATTTGCACATTCTCCCTGTGCCTGTGTCTGTGTGGGTTTCCTCTGGGTGCTCTTGTTTCCTCCCACAGTCCAAATCTGTGCAGGTTAGATGGATTGGCCATGCTATAGTGCCTGGGGATGTGTAGGTTAGGTGGCATTAGCCATGGGAAATGCAGGGTTATAGGGATGGCGTGTGTCTGGGTGGGATACTCTTTGGAGGGTTGGTGTGGATTTGATGAGCTGAATGGCCTGCTTCGATACTGTGGGGATGCTATGGTGGTGGCCCCTATCCTCCTATGTCCTACACACAAAGAGCAGGGGGAAGTATCAGGAGACATCTAAGAAGGTGATTGTTGGCCTACAGTGCCAGCTGTTTCACAGAGGATCCTTGATTGGTGTCTCATTACTATATAAGGTCTGTCAAAACGCTCCGAGGTCAGAAGGTCTTGTTCGCAGAGTGACTATTGCAGTGAGGAAATGGTTGCCCTATTGTTTTTGCAGTGTCGCAGGCTGTATGTTCCTGTGTGCTGAAAAATATTCCCAGCGAGACACTCAGGCTACTCCTCAGAGATACGTGCTCCCACCGTCAAACTCGGTCATCCTGCAGTCACCCCTCCCTCGCTGATGAAAGGGCTGTGCTGAGGTTGGGAAGTGGGCATCGAGATCTTTGACAGAAAAGAAAATAAAATGACGTTGCCAAAGAAAGCACACAAGAAACAGCTTCTCTCGAGAGGTCAAAGGAGCAAGGTCGGAAATGGAACTTCACATCGTTCTCACCACATACTCCAGTGTCGATGAGAGTAGACGAAGAAAGCTTAGCCTATTGTAACACTGTCTCTGTTACACATCCCACCCGCATTATAAAGCTTTCATTCTGTGGGACACGTTCTGTGATACACACCCCTTTACTCAGGAGGCTCTGGGAATATTATCAAAGATACACGCTCCACTCCCTGCAATCTGGCCTCCTTGTATCAGTGTCCGACTTGTTTGAAATACTGCAGCTGTTTCCTCACTGACTGTAAGAGTCACTCTCCTGTTAGTCCTTCAGTCCTTTCCCAGCTCCACGCATTCCCACCCTGATCCAGTGCACTCCTTTCAAACCAGTGCACCCTACAAGCCATTACTGGTGGCCTGTCAGCCAGGATCTCCTGCGCTCTGGAACTTTCAATCCTGCCCTTACCAACCACCATTCCCCTTCCACTTTCAAACATTAACTGGCCTACAAATCCCTTTGTGAGGTACGTAAGGGCAGAAATAGACCATTCAAGACACTCACCATTCTCACGTGGAAATACGTCATTGTTCCTTCACTGTTCCTTAGTCAAAATCTTGGAAATCCCTCCCTAATGGGGTCTATCTACAGTGCACGGACTGCAACTGTTCAAAAAGACAGCTCACCCCATTTCTCAAAGGCAACTAAGAATGGGTAATAAAGGCTGGCCTAACCAGTGATGCCCAGATCCCATGAATGAATAAACAAAAGAAGTGTCCCGCATTATCCTTTAAATGCACCCATATTATCTAATTTCACCTCTCACCATGATCGCAAGTTGAATATGCAAACTATCTGTAAAAATTCAACTTCTTGTGCAGTTGATTACATATTGACATGTCATTTGCAATACCATCTTCAGGTGAAGATTACAACATGGAAGACTCAATGGGCCAAAGGTTCTTTTTCTGCTGTAGGCCTCTGTGACTATATGGAAACACCAATCCATGTTAATGCTTACTCTCCACGCAAGGAGTTGTCCTAATCTTGTGCTCAACTTGTTCAAATACCATTTCTTCTTTTTCTCTGCTCTCCTCTCCAAGCTATACTTAAATGTGATTGTAGTGATTTTAATAAAGTCGACCGGGTGGAACTCATAGTAAATGAGTTCCCTGATTGGGGCTGTTAATCTGGTCCAATCAGGGAGCCCTGGCTGACAGGTATAAACAGGAGTGTCAGAGGTCCTGGTCACTCTAACTGCTGGCTTTAAGCTAGCTGGGTCAGTGTCCTGTACTATGCACATGTAAATAATGGGTGACAGGATACCAGCCTTTGTGGAGTTATTTCAGTGATTTTACAGAGCACTTTAGTCCATGCACCCAATCCCCAAACATGGCTAAAAGATTAATGTAGGGAGCCTGCCTTTGATATTACCAGCTTCCCTTAGAAATTTAACACTGGGCGGGGAGTAAATTGTTTTAAGGTGGGACTTCAATCCCAACTCTGGTAGAAACTACCCCCTTAAAGAACAGTCAACCTATCTGATGGCTCTGTTGTCCCAACAGTGTCAGGTTTGACTGGTGGCTGGTGTTGGAAATGCAGGCATAGCCCCCAAAGAAATGGCACTCATGAAGCTAGGCACAAGAGGAGTATGCCCACTGGTGGGACCTGGCATGGATATAAAAGACCAGATGGTGGAGGTTAAGGGGGAGATCGGATCTTGAGGGGAAGCGGTAACCTCCGATGGGCTGGCGTTACCGTCTTCCCTTCCCTTTAGCCTGGAAAAACTTTGAGGTTACTTGTTTGCCCTCCCTTTGGCTCTGGTAATATAGCAATGGGAGGGGTGGGATGAGGCCCTTACGAGGTCGTTAATTGGTGTCGATAGGTTCAAGAATAAGAAGGCGTCCCGAAGCCTCCACCATTCCCATAATATTTGAGACGGGTCAGGGGCAAGCAGGAAGACCACACTCTGCATTTATGAGCCCCTTCTCCCCCCATCGCTTCAAAGCCATCTCCAAACCCAGCCCATGGTCTCTGCTTCAAGCACTGACTCCAACGGGGGCTTCTACAGTCTCAATGTGTTTTGTAAAATAAAAGTTTCTTCTCAGCACTGAGCTCACTGCACCTTGTGGGTCGCGGGGAAGCTATTAATTATGAAGCAGAAAAGTGCAAATGCACATAACACATGGAGACCAGGATGTAAACTCAGCTGAATAGTTACAACTTACAGCGTAAAATCTGAGACAACCCTCATAAAATGGATGAGGGAACAGTATGTTGGGTTTTAATCTGAAATACATGACAATTATTCTTAAACCCGGAACAAGCCCCTTGCAATGGCTGAGTGATATTTTCCCAAAAGACTTTCTAGTAGACAATAAATCCTTTCCACTTACAAATGGGTCTTTCCCCTTGAGGGCACATTCCTCTTCCTGGCCAGGCAAAGCCGGCCAGTAAATCTGAAAGCGAACAAGGAAGAGGATCGTTAAATTGGTATTAAATCACAATAAATCCAATAAGTAATTCATGAACAGGAGTGGTGCAAGTGTCAGATGTTGCCCCAACATGTGTTAATCACCAATTAACCCTTTCCATCCACACTGGTGCAATGTAACACACATATTATTTGTTCTTAATAGTTAAGCATGCAAGAAAATAAAAAAGTGTGTTTATACAGTACTTTGCCACATCATAGCATTTCAAGGCACTTAAAAACATTAATTACATGTTGAGTTGGCACAGCTTGCGCTAGTAAAATTACAGCAACTGCTCTAGGCTACCATTGTCTGACAAAGAATATGGGGCCAGAGGAGTTTAAATAGACCCTTTGGCCTGTTCTACCATTCAAGTAAAGCCTGGCTGATCTGTGACCTAACTCTACATTTCTACCTTTGTCCCGTGTCCCTTAACACTTTTGGTTAAGAGAAAGATTTAACCTTAAGCAACTGATCCAGCATCAAATGCTATTTGTGGCAGTACATTCCAAACTTCCAGCTCTGCCCAACTGTGACTTATTGGCAACACTCTCAGTTCTGACTCACAAGGTTCTCCTTTCAAACCTGACTTCAGGCTTTGAGTTCAATACTGAGGGAATGCTACACTGGTGGAGGTGCTATCTTTCATGTGAATAGTGGAGGCCTATCTACCAATTAGGACAGATATTAATAAAAAGCATATTCTAAAGAACAGTGGCTGGTATTTATCCCTTGATCATCACAACAATACCTTAAATGATTCAGAGATAGTAGGAACTGCCGATGCTGGAGTCTGAAATAACAAGGTGCACAGCTGGATGAACACAGCAGGCCAGGCAGCATCAGAGGAGCAGGAAGGCTGACGTTTCAGATCTGGACCCTTCTTCAGAAATGAGGTCCAGACCCGAAACATTGGCTTTCCTGCTCCTCTGATACTGCCTGGTCTGCTGTGTTCCTCCAGCTCCACACCTTGTTATCTTAAATGATTGTTGTTTGAGAGAATTTGCCACACATGTAATGTGGCTGCTGTGTTTCCAACATGAGAACTGCGATTAGACTTCAGATTTACTTCACAGGCTGTAAAACCCTTTGCGATGTCTGGCAGCTGCAGAAAGTGCTATATAAATGCAACGATTTCTATTCTCCCCACATAATATTCCCTAGTGTCCATGCTAATGGATTCGGCTCCAACTTTTAGGAATACCACCTAAACCTAGATATTTTTCTACTCACCCCATTTACTGATGTTATTACACACTTCTGAAGCAGGTAGGACTTGAGCCCAGGCCTCCTTGTCTGGAGCTAGGGACAATACCACTGTACTGCAAGAGCCTTTTTTCTAGTCATACACTATCTAACCAGCAGGAGCAACTTCTATCAGTTCCCCTCAATATTTCAAAAATGCTGCATCATGCCTTAGCGTTTTCAGTTCCACGGAATAGAATTCCAGTTCGTGAAGTCTCTCTTTGTCGTTTAACACTTGAAGTGAAGTGGATTTCTTCTAGTGAATCTATGCTACACTCCCTTCAAGGCCAATACATCCTTCCAAAGGTCTGGTAGCCAGAAGTGAACAAATTCATTCAAGAGTCATGCTGATTGAGGGAGTGTTGTTGAGCAGAGCAAAAAGGAAAATGTTTTGCTCTTGTTCAACTGCGTCTTTAACCTGAGCAGGTGAATGGTTACTCACCCCAATCTTGACATGACTACATGACAGCAATACAGTGGGAAATGGTCATGAAGTGGCTGTGTCACTGAACCAGTCATCCAGATGCCTAGACTAAGAATCCAGTAGAACACAAGTTCTAACCCCACCATGGACAGTTGAGCATTTGGACTAAGTTCAGAAATATGAAAACACTGGTATTCCATTATTAAAGGGGACCAGGAAACTGTCAGATTGGAACAAATTTTGCAAAAAACAGACTCGTTGTTATTCTTCAAGAAAGGCAATCTGATCTTGAAATCCAATCTGGTCTTCAGTCCCTTGACAACTTTTAACTTCTCTCTCAATCATATTGATTCAACGTTCTTACAATAAATCTAGGGTGGGCAATAAATGTGGACAGAACTGCCCATATCCCAAACTTAAAGCAAAGCAAAGAGCAAGCAGACATAATTCAACAGCTACAATATCAGGCAACTGGGCAAAGTCATAACTGTTGTGTAAGGCTTTGGATCAGAAGGGGTAGACAGAGGTCATTTAGCCCATCAAGCCTGCACCGACCCTCTGAACGACATACCACCCACAATCCCTGTAATCCCACATTCACCAATGGCTAACCCACCTAGCCTGCATGCCCTTGAACACTACGGAGCAATTTAGCACAGCCAATCCACCTAGCTTGCACATCTTTGGACAGTGGGGGGAAACTGGAGCACCCAGAGGGGAACCATGCAGAAACGGGGAGAATGTGCAAACTCCACACAGACAACCAACCAGGACTGGAATTGAACTTGGGCCCCCGGCACTATGAGGCAGTAGTGCTAACCACTGTGCTGCTTTGGTGTTATATTGGCTGTTAATATTATGCTGGTTCCACCTGTTCTAGTGATGTCACTCACGGTTTGTGGGTGGAGGTAAGGAGTCTTACTGTAGCTTTGGGAGGGGTTAGGTGGAACTGTACCAGCTCCCTGAAGTCTGAATCTTTATGCCTGACCAAGTGTAGTTGTGCATAATACTATCATGCAATGAATCTTGTTAACTCACAACAGTGTTATTCTGGAGATGCTTTACAGTAGATGTATCCTCTGTCACTAGTCACTAGTTGGGACCAAGACAGAGCAATGATAAAGGAGGATTGGTGGCAGCAAACTATTTTAAATAACTCTTACCTCGTACCGAATACTGGTAGAGGTGGCAAGTACCTCAAGATGCCAATGGTGATTATTTGGGAAAATCTTGCATCAGAAAGGGAAATCATTTCCAGACTCACTCCTTGTATGTGACCCAGTGCAGATGAAGTTGCAGGAAATAGCAGCAAAGTAGAGAACAGTCATAACAAAAACAAAATTTCTGGAAAAGCTCAGCAGTTCTGGCAGCATTTGTGAGGGAAAAACAGAGTTAACGTTTCAGGTCTGGTGACCCTTCCTCAGAACTGTTCTCAGACCTGAAACGTTAACTCTGTTTTTTCCTTCACAGATGCTGCCAGACCTGCTGAGCTTTTCCAGCAATTTTGTCTTTGTTCCTGATTTATAGTGTCTGCAGTTTTTTCGGTTTTTATTAGAGAACAGTCATACTGGACTCAAAACATTGACTGTGTTTCTTTATCCACAGATGAGTTTCTCCTGCATTTTCTGTTTGAATTTCTAACCCTGTCACATTGGGATTTTAATAAAAAAGACTGTGGTTGGTTCGCTCACCGAGCTGGTTCATTAGTGAACCCACCATAGCATCCACAACCTGAGCTACAAATCTACTCAAGAAAGGCTGAAAACTGTAGACGCCTTCTATGAAATAGGCCACATGTAAATATTAGCCATTCAGTTTTAAATAGCTCGACATTTCTCTTCACTGAGCTAGATAAGTCTGAACAATTTACAATGATGAACTTTCTGCCGAAAGATTGCCAGGGGAAACTGAACAAGCAGCTAGATAAACCAAGATCCAACAATCTGAACTTTCAACATCCCCATGATCTGTTCTTAAAATCCATCCTCCTTTGCACTGGAGAGAATGCTGGTCCCTGCATTGATTGCATTGAAATTGTCAAATGCAAAGGAAAGATTACATTCAATTGAAATGTCATTTATTGCCATGTAATTACATTTATAACCGATGATCAACGACCTGCGCTAATCATTGGGAATCATCTCGCGCAAGCAGACTATAGAATCACAATTATACACTGCAGAAGGAGGCCATTCAGCCCATCATGTATCACTAGCTCTCCCAATGAGTATCTCACTTAGTGCTGTTCTCTTGCCTATTCCCTATAACCCTGCATATTCTTTCTAATTGCCCTTTGAATGCCTTAATTGAACCTGCCTCCACCAGACTCTCAGGCAATGCGTTCCAAACTCCAAAAGCCCTTTGTGTGAAACTGTTTTCCCTCATATGACCTTTTTTTGCTTCCTGTACTGATGACTTTAAAATAGAAAAAAGATTAAAGTCCCTGAATTTATATCTGTGCCCGAGCTCAATTCCCTCATTACTTTCGTACCCAATGCTTGGCACTTTTGGCTTGGATGAGTACTGCCTGAAATATGGGACATTGTCTCTCTTGCTGCTGAACTTGCTTTCAAATTATCAATGAAATGACCTCTCTCCTGCCTAATGCTCAGTGAAGGTGACTGCCCCTTGCCTATTCCCCATTACTGCTATGTGGTATATCTTCATACAAAGCTGAGGCTCATCACAGTGAAATGGATAACACATCTTCTATTGGAGACCTATGAGACGCCCATAGCTTTCAGAGCCACAGGCACTCAAAGGCAGTTAGAGACAGGAAATGAACACTGGCTTTGTCGGAGACACCCAAATCCCACGAAAGACTATAAAAAGAACTCAGCCAAAACAAACATTAGTTCAACAAATTAGCAGTAGAAGAGAGGTTGTGGCAATGGGAGGGAATGTCTTTGCTTCTGGTACATTAACCTGTTCTCATTCCTGTGTCTATGCTTGTCTCATTTTCTACTATGCTTCATCATACTTTATTTTAACCGCTTCCCTTTGGCTACAATTGACCTCAGTGAATAGCTGCTCCTTCAAACACTTCTGCGCTACAGTTTTGGTTTCCCTTGCTTCCCATAAGGAAGACTGCAGAGAAATCTTCTTCCTATCTACAAAAGAGATCTTTGTCATTTGGCCAACATGTGGGCTGTATTTGAAACGGGGAGGAATTAGATAGCAAGGGATGGGACAGGGCGAGGGGAGTCCAGGGCAGTGCCGTTACGCAGCTGCACAAGTTAACAAAACAGTCCGGGGAACAAAAGCAAACCCTTGAAGAATGCTTATATATTTGTGCTCCTCCAGTCCATCATGCGAC